TCCACCTTGTGTGCCACAGTGAAGTGCACTCTTGGCATGCATGCTGTGTTTCTCTCTTACAAAGACAGCAAGCCTGGTCACATACCAGTCCTTAGATAAGCATCCGTATAAAGTATGAAATGCGTATTTACAGCACACAATTATCCGCATAGTATTGTATAATTGTATGTCAGAATATCTAGACAGACCTTCATCTACACGATTTAACTTGACTAGATCTCTGCAAATTTTTCAGCTGAAACTTCTTTTGCCAAGAAATGCAGATTTGGGTTGACCAAAACATTTTGCTCATGTGTGTATTTTGCTTCAGCTGAAACTGGAAAAAAAAAGTCAGAAGTATTGATGAACTGAACCCTTTCACTTACAAAAGTAAATATATTCGATCTTGGGGCTAGATTCAGAAGGAAGTCATAGGCCGACAGTTGTGGGCATGACACAAACTCATCACAGAAAGATGGTTTGTGCCCCCAAGATCTTACAGTCTATTTTGTGGTTATGAGCCCTGATCCATGATGCAGAGGCCTCTGCAAACCTGAGGGCAGGATTCAGGCCATGCTGGGAAGAGATTGGTTTTCTGAAAAGGGAGTAGAGGACTGAAGCCCATTGTACATGCGCTTCAATTTGCTAGTCTATAGAGTAGCACTTAGAGGTTGTTAGGTATCAAGCAAGCCAATGGAAGCAGTGCACCCAGGAATCTAAGGATCTGTCTTCGTTGTCAAAAAAAAAAAAATGTTTAACCACAGGATACTTTAACACACATCCTCTCTCCAGCTGTAAAGTATTAATGGTGCCAAAGCACTGCAGTTTTACCACAAAGCAAACTAAGCAAGGTGAACACCCCTCACCTAGCTAATTTTAAGGAAAATATAATAGCTGCCTTATCGCTATGAGGATAGGTAAGGCATAGGATAGGACAGCAAGATAGGAAGGGCACTGTGGTCCCTCTTAAAAAAAACCACCACACACACACACACCCCCAACCACCAACCCACTGACTGTGCAATGGAAACAGCCTAAAAAGAAAGGAGATTCTAGGTGTAGGTTGTTCTAGGATGAAAGAATTGTGTGATGGAGACATATGGTAGAGGGCTCACAGGACTTTACCTACAACTGCCTTGAGGTTGCAGAAATTAGGTGGTGTAGAAACCAAGAAGATACAATATTCATGTAGCTATCCTAAACTGTTATTTTAAATAGGAAATCCAAATGACTTTACACCATGTGCTGAGTTGTGTCACCATTTTTTAAAAAGCTTCTTTTTTAAATCAACTGTATTATTGTTCAAGTACACTGCATTTCTAGCTTCTCTAAAGCTAATCATTTTAATTAACAGAAACAAGTAGCACAGTCATGGCAGCCCTGCGAATAAGAGGGCTTTCTTCAGCAGAGCACACATTTACAGTCAAGGGGCTGCTACAGCAAACACAGTAACAGCTACTGGTTCCAACAGTAAAGAGACTATCTTGGAATTGAAATCAGCACAATAAATACTTCATTCTGTGTGTAAGGCACTGCCAGTATTTCTGTTTTCTGCAGTCATCAATACGAAGGCCTCTTGACTAGATTGCTGAAAAACAGAAGTCCTCCACCAATATTTCCTCTAATTTTTGTTTTTTTACACCAAGACCTGTGATTGTGCACCACTAGTAGAAACATGCGAGTGGCCACTGTTAATTAGCTGGATGACATTTGAATCTCTCCTAGGTGGCCACCTAAGTGCTCAGTCTTTATCTGCACAGGCCTGATTCTCCATGACCCCTGCAATATTTTCAGCAATGTAGTTTGGACACCAAATTCAATGACTGTTTTTCATTGCAAAGAAAATACAGCAGCTTCAAAAGCTATTAAAATAACACTAATTCCAGTGAAAAAAATATCAATCAGTGCATTTACTAGTCTTCAGTTTTCATGAAGGTGAGTAGTCACCATATTTTATTGATGAGGGAGGCAAACGTGCACCATTAAGAATAATCAAAACACCAGCCGCCAGCAAAAATAACAATCAACAGATCTATTTCATTTTTTCCCTATTTGGTTAAACATTTCCACTGTAAGAGCCCAGTTCCAGTTTATCCTACAGTTTTAGCACAGGCACACAGCAGTCACTGATCTCTGTGTTTGTCTACATACCATGAAAAGAGAACAATCCTTTGGTGAAAACCCCAGCTTCTCTGGTTTCTAAGGTAACTGTAAAGGAGGATTACACCTGACATGTATTTAGGTGAAAGTATTCAGGGGATCCAGACATCTCTTTTTCTGTCAGGCCAGCTGTTAATTCTTCATTACTGCACTACAGCTATCCATTACAGGAAAGGTATGGGAACCTCTATCAATCAATACTGGAGAATTTTACTAAGGGAAAAAGACCTTTTAGGCATCCAAATCTCTTAGCACCCTTTCAAGATATCTGTTTATGCTCTCATGGTGGGATTCCTGCAAAGGAATCAAGTAATTTTTGTACTAAGCACTGAAACCTACACACACCACACAGCAAAAGATGTGGCTCATCTGCTTCCATAAGATTAGTAAAAAGTGGTCAGGGAGGCAGTGGTACTGCCTCAAGAACCCTAAATATTCAGCAATTTGCTCTTAAGAATTCCCTATGCATCTATGTTTTAAGGTGGAGGAGGCTAAGGAGGCAAATCTAGTAGTACTTTACACACTGAGCTAGTCAGGAGTAGGAGGAACTTTCAACAATTCCTTAAGTCTCACTCAGCAGCGGGGGGAAAAAAAGTCACATCTTGTAAATTTCTGGTTAAAAATTGTCCATATAGAATGCACCCAGTACTAATAAAATATACACGTACTACTGCCATGGCATCACTACAAATGTGGTAACCATTAATATAAGCAAATCTAAAAACTAGCTAGTAAAAACAGTAATATACCTTTGCAGAGGCATGATTTCACAAGCCATTCGTGAAACAAACGTGTCTATTCGTAACAAACAACTGTTTCTTCCACAACAGGGTTTTTCTCTGCAGTGTAGGTCTTCTCACACTACCAAGCGTGCATTCCTATCTTCTAGTCAGAGAGGGACGCAGGATGAATTGCAATAGGCTACCCAGGGAAAACTCAACGGAGAACACAGCAAGCTAGCGCTCAAGGACAATCGCCAAACTTCTCCAAGTAACAGTAAGGCTGCGTGATCGGTTGCTTCTCGCTACAATACGCTGCTGCAGTACTCTTTGACCTTTTGTTCCGGAGAAGCAGCTGAAGCCTCTAGCCAATCAGCAGTGGTAGCTGCAACAGTTCTGTCTGTCTGTGTCTGTCTACCTCCTCCTCCTCTGTGGGCTTGGCTTGCCATCCTGGTAACTTGAAACTTCCCCCAACAACAGTCCCGCTGCTGAGACTGACAATCAGAGGACACGCAGCCAATGGCTGCTCCCGAGAAACACACACGCAGCCTCTTAAGGAGACACAAGGTTCCAGCAAGAAGCTGCACTGACAAGAGGAGGGAAGTGCTAGTGTCAGCCACGCTAAGATCACCAGCAAGAGTCAAACAAACAAGTATCAGCAGGTTTCTCTAGAGGCACCATTCTTCGTGACCCCGTGCATGCCATGCCTGCTTGTAGTTCCTGCAGATAGATATTTGTTTGCACCCTGCTGCGGGCATGTCTGCTGCAGATTGCAGTACTGGCTCCAGACTTGTGACATCACGTCAGGCACGTAGCGCTCCCTTCTTTGGGGGTGGAGGACAAGAACAGAACATCCTTTGATGCAACCCACTGCCCTCTTGTTCTTAAATAAACAACAGGTGCCACCAACCACAGGGAGCCACATACACAGCCAATCAATGGGGGCGGAATGGTTTCTGATGATTAAGGGAGTGGATGACTCCACAATGAAAAGCACATAAAACACGTAGCTTTAGGGATTTAAACGTCATAAAGTCACATCCATAGTCCAAGGGAGATCAGAATCTTGTTACACTGAAAATCCAAGTTAAAACTGCGGAGCCATTTAAGTGGAAGAGGTCTTTTTCTTTCAAGTTAATTTTGTGCAAGTTAAAAATGCCAGACTGAAAGCCCTGATGACTGAACTCGATTTGTCCCCAGAGCAGGAACAATACAGGCAGCATCATCTTGTATTTAAGCATAGCACCTAGCTCAGAAAACCAATTTCAGTTAGGGTCTCCAGGTGCTCCCAAAATGCAAGTAATTAATAATGATGGTAACCACTTAAAGCCA